AGGAGATGCATTGTTTTGTTTGTTTGGTGGGTTTGGTGGGCTTGTGTGCCGCTGGGCTGGGATCTGGACGGTGCTCTAGCTGCCCAGTGTGGGTGCTGTTATACCCGATCCTGTGGTCTTGAGGTTAGATGGTTGATTCTCTGGGATGGATTGTGCAAGGGGCTCACGGTCAGAGCTGTTGGTATATTCAGTTGCTTTGTTCCAATAGAACTGAAAGAGTGGTTGCTTCTGTTGCTTTTCGAGACAGAGACAGGGCGTCGAAGCTGAAAAGGGGGGATTGATAAATTAGAAGTAACGAGCGATTTAATACTGCAAAAACTGTTATGAGGGACGTGATCTTCGATAGCAGAAAGCAAATAGTGGCTGTTGGCACGAAGAACGATTGCTGAGAAGAGCAATAAGCAGACAACTTGAGCAAGCAGCAGAGAAGCACGCATGGGCTGGGCTTGATGAAGCGAAAAAACAGCACACTGGACCCGAGCGGTTCCCACTCTCTTGAGTATAGATAGAGATCAACAGGGGAATGTACGCTAAGTTGATCTAGAGCAGGAAACGGATTCAGATCTGAGATCGTCGCGGTTCCACTTGCTGCACTTGCTGGGCTGTATATGCTTGTACCTGGCTCTTCCATCAGGGCAGGACCATGTGATATATTGTCGTAGTGTGTGTGCAGGTAACGCTTTGTTTGTTGGAGCTGTACCATCTACGTATTCCTTTCGATTAGATATAACAATTTGAATGTCAAAGCAGATATCTCCTATCTATAGATCTGAGTAGATACTAAGGAAACTGATGATAGGCGGGCTCGCTGGCTGGGATCTCGGCACGCAGTGGAGCGACCACCAATCAGGAGCAGATCAGCATGTATGGTTGTACGGGTCCGCTGCGGTGCTCCATGGTCACACGTACCGCAGGAACTTGGTCCGCTCAAGCCTCACGCGAACCTTGCCCAAGTGTCTTCGGTGGGTGTGGAAGGTTTTGTTTGTTTGGCTTGGGAAGCTGGGCGGGATAGGTATGCAGCGTACAAGGATGAAAGTGGCAGAGTACATGCACGATGATGCTGCAGAGCATAGCATGGTTGCTGAAGTGAGAAGGGCGGACGCTGGCTGATGAATTGATTTCGAATATTTAGATTTGTCTAAACATTTGGAGAAGACCGGAATGCAAAGACAGTACAAGTCAGCATGGTCGAATGCTACACTCTAGCAATAGGGTCATCATGTCAATCTAATGCAAATATTGCATCTTCCAATCCTCGATGGTCTAACGGTCATGATTTCCGCTTGTCAATCCCACTCGGGAACAAGCGCGGGAGACCTGGGTTCGACTCCCAGTCGGGGAGATTTCTTTATTTGTTTTTGCCTGAGAAGCTCGAGACGCTGGTCCCTGTGCGCCTGCACGCTTGAGAATTTGATCTCTCCTCTCCTCTATCGAACCAGCGAGGATCGGGTTGTGTGGACCACCTCGATTGGGGCAGGTACATATAGACGTGCATAACCCGCCTCGTCAGCATGGATGTATGAAGGCCATTCGGCGTTGAGAGCAAAACCACCATTGGTATAACGAACAATCAGTCGGTCAGGGAAGGACAATAAAAGATGAAGGAGATAATTCTTACGACCGATTCTATACTAAATCCATCACTAACCTAGAGCCAATACTTGAGCAAATTCAGCACACCTCATTGCGATGTCAACGAGCAACCTTGCAATCAAACCCCTGCATCCAACTGCGAGTTCCGCCAGGCCTCTGATCCTTGCACCCACATCTCTGGGTCTGCCACCAAAGAAAACAACCGAGGCTGTCATGTCAGCAGGATACCCCCTGCCACGCAGAAGCGAAAACCTGAACCAAGCACTCAAGGGCTGGCTCTGCAGCCTCCCTCCGAGAGCATTCCGGATAAGATGAGATGCGGCATTTCCGTCCTCCAACACGAACCTTTCATCTGGACTCGCGAGGTTCAAAGTTCTTTGGGACAATTTTCCTTGGCCGGTCAGGACACGATTGGACACTGTTCTCAAGCCCGCCAACTTAATGTACTTGGACCATCCTTGTCGACCCTCCTCAGTCCCTATGTTCTCCGGCTCGTCAATCCATCGTCCTACCAGTGCTACAACTTCCGCGGTACTTAAGCACTCCCAGAGTCTACCCGAGGCCATTACAACGAAATCTCCACTTTCAGGCTCAATCTCAACACTAGTCACCAGCGGCTCAGGGGTGAGTTGCAAGATAGTCGGTCTGGGAATCGTCCGGGCATCATCATCCGAGTTGTGCACTCCAGGCAAATTCTTAGGGCCCCTTAAGAGTCCGAGGGTACCCAGAAGCGGCCAGATTCTAAGCACATACGACCCTCCTGGATGCACAAAATTAGCGTGCATTTGCTCGGCGGTATTGACGCAGTGCTGGCCCACAGGGATCACCGTGGCCGTCCATGATTCTCCCCTTCGCCTACTGCGGCGACCCAGTACTGCGCGACAATTACCGGTTGATGCCACATGCAAAACACAATCTTGATGGCCGTAGACTAACAGCAAAGCACATCGCCGGGTGGGCTCCTTCTTGGAGTCACGCGTAGCCCCTGGAAATTGAGGGGGTGGTGCGGTATGCAACTCTATAGCCTTGTGGCTGATTTCCTCCTGGACTTGTTTCGCACCCGAAAGAGGTGCAGTTGCTGGTGTGATTTGTGAGTCTGGGGCCGTATGCTGAGGAAATTCTTGCCGAGGACGCAATAAGGTGGCCATCCGACTATTGTTCTCAGCCCCAAACCCACGCCGTATTGCTTGCCTCAGTGATTCGGCGTCTGGTAATGGTTCAGTTGAGTACACCTCATCCAGCTCACTTGCTACAGAGGGAATCAATGTTTCCGAAAGATGATCGCGCAAGGGAGCGTCGCTGTTCACCAGGTCAGAAAAATTGAGTCGGAGCGGTCTCTCGAAGGGCTGCTTACATGTGGTCGTTGTAGATGGCCCAAAAGTCTAGGGTGCGGCCGCACGATAGCCTCTGAGAGAACCCTCGATATGACTTCCATGGCTCACTCGATAGAGTCGAACAGTCAGCGCCGCATGACACAAGCCGAGGACTTATGAGACGTGCTTGGTGAGCACGTAGCCGCTCGTCAGCTTCGCTGGCAGATATGTAGTGGCAGTCTGTCGAAAGTCGAAACTTCGCGTCTTGGACGGTTTTGCTCGCCGTAGGCCTCTGATGCGTGTTTTCAATCCGTTGCTGTCCTTTCAGATACCAATATGCCAGTAGACCACTACTGATCAACACACCCCCAATGACCAGTTTCCCTGCAGATACTGGGATCTTTCGCCAGGCGGAAAGCATATTGTAGAACCTCGAGCGATTGAGTACCTTGGTTCGAGAAATCGAATCTGTCAACATCGCTGTTTTGTAGAGCAGAGCAAAGACAAAATAGAAAAGACGATTGATACTAGTAATGATAATGATGATGGTTGTAATGCTTATGATGCTTCTGTGAAGGCCGGGAAATATTTACCGAACGGCGGGCTACAGTTGCTCCTTCTGGAAGCTGCCACTTGGAACCTTGAACGTCGTTGTGAGATATACTGGAAGCTCCATTGTTGAATGAACTCAATTAATCTCACAAAATCCGAAAGCGTAGTCAGTTAACAGAAACTCGTCGCATGGTATCTTATAATAATACTATTGATTGTAAGCGAAGTGATATCCATGTTCTGTATACGGCTTCCGAAGTCAAAGTCGGACTTGTATCGCAGGGGCTGGATGCTGGATGCATTGCTTGCTGCATTTTCGGTGGCATTGCTTCTATAGTTTCGAGACAAAGTCAGGATAAACAGCTCAGCCTCGTTAGGCGACTGTCTGATCGAGCAGCGCTCCCACGCACGCAACCATTTGCATGGCTCGCTCGGGATGTTGTGAAGGTCTTCGGAGTTAGGTTCGAAGAGCAAAGCCCCAATGCCAGACATGCGAAGTGCACTACTTGTCGGCGGTATATCTTCGCATGTGCGGGGTGGTATCAGGAGATCATTCATGATTCCAAAATGTCCGCGTTCTTCAGTCACTGCCTTCATCTTCCTCCACGGGTGTAAGTTCAAGCCGGGTGCTAGGCCCAGCTGCATCACTCGGCCGCTGGGTATTCGAGCTCCTTCTTCTCCGGGCGTGCAGCTCCTGATCAGACTGTGTGACTGCTCTCTCGCCGACGAACTTGTTACCCGGCCAAGTATCCTTACACACCGGACAGACCTCAGCCTGCTGAGACCGGAAGAAGTGGCGCATGCAATGATCATGCAATCTTCCCAGACAATCTCGATCACCACACCTTTGACCCTATCCCCAGCGCCAAGTCAGCCTTCATCCCATGCCCCATCGTTACGGCGCGTATCAGAGACGCAAAACAGAAACTCACCGCAGTGATCAGATCCTTGCACGCAGCACAGAACTTGATCTTCCGAATCCCCTCCGCCTCGTCATTATACGTCGCCACCAACCACCCCCGCAGCTCTATCAAGCCCCGGGGACTGAGGCTATAAAACCCCTTGCCACTCTTCCCGAACCACCCTTCCTCGACCAACTGCTTCAGCAACGCCTCCGCCTGCGACATCGTCAACGACTGCACCACCCCACCGACCGCCTGCGAGTCCGGCTGCTGCGTGGCACCCTGCGTGAGCATCGTCTGCGACTGCAACCCGGACTCTCTCCTCTGGCTGCCGCCGTCCCCGGAAACCTTGGCCAGCTGCAACGCCTGCATCCCACTCACCGCCATCGCCTCGCAGCGGCGCGTGTTATGCGTCTCGAACATTGCATCCAGCAACCGCTTGACGTAGGCGATCTCGTCCGCCGAGTACGTCGTCGCCAGTTGCGTCAGCGCGTCGCTCGTCGTGTTCACCAGCGCGTACACCCGCTCCGGCGGGGGCACGGCCGTCGTCTGGCTCGAGTCAACTTCTATCTGCGGCAGGGTACTGCGGATCTCGAGGTCGAAGGGCGAGATGGCGTTGTTGGCGGTCGCGATGTAGGATTGTAGTTCGTCCTCGGTGATTTCCTCGGGGGAGACGGGTTGTTTCTCTATCGAGGTGGGGACAGTCAGTATCGCTCCACTGGCTTAAAAGACAGTATAATGTGACTGGCTGTACTTCGAGATAGGGACGAGGGGCTGTACCATGCGCTGAGAAGATCGCAGCTAATACGGGTTTGGCTTCCTCGAAGGTCATGGTCGAGCGGCCCATGAAGGCCTGGAGAAAGGCGCGGTTGGTGTCATTGTAATTGTAGGGGCCGGTTTCTCGGACCATCGTTATGAAAGAAGGATGGGACAGCTTCTGAAAGAGCCTAGGTTCATGTAGAGATGGCGAAGGAATGGAAGCAGAGCTGTTTTATGTTCTTAGGACTAACAAAAGAAAATTGAGGGGACAAAGAACTGCGGAAGACGCGATGCGGCACGCGCTCCCCGCGTTCGGTAGTATTGATTTTGGGGGGAAGAAAGGCTACCCGCCAAAAGCCCCCATGGGTTTCTTTGTTGTAGTGAATACGGACAGGTTTGGGTCTATGATATGATTATCTCATTCCAGATTGATGCACTAGCATCGCGATAAAGCTTAGACATCATGGTACCATGAAGAAGACAACCAAGTCCAAACGCAAAAAAAAAAAAAAAGAATGGGAATCGAAAATACAAGTGACAATGTCATGATGAGGTTCAGACTTCCCCGATAAACGCCACAAATCGTTATACAGATGATGATTAAGAGAAATGGAAAGAAAGAAAAAAAAAAGAGAAGAAGCGACGAATCCCAAAGCTCATGGACCCTTTTCCCCCACAAACGAACAAGAACAACAACCTAGTATCTCCGCCGGGTGGGCTCCGGGCTGGGACTGCGACTGACACTCCGAGCATCGCGTCCCCGTTCCTTCAGCCACTTCTTCGTACTCAACCGCAACTCCCGATCCAGCTCATTACTGGGATCCTTGCGATGAATGAAATTGCAAAAGCCGCCACGGACGCAGCCTTCCCCGCTATTCAACCGACAGCACGCTTCCCGGAAGTCCGTCACCGGTGATAACTCGCAGTATATCGGTCGCGCTGCGTACCATCGGGAGTTTAACGCATCACAGGCGGCCTGTGCGTCTTCCTCGTACTTGAAGCGGGCGTAGACGTTGCCAATCAAGTCTGTTGGCGAAAATCCATGCATTAGTCATTTGAGGCAGTCCAGAGGTTTGCGGAGGGAGGCTTGGGAAGGGGGCCAAACATACGGTCATTGTTGTTGTCGCAAACAACCAGCTCCTCCAACTCGCCGTACTTGCACATCTCACACCACACATCCTCATAGAACGCATCAAAGTGGTTCTGCAGCTGACTCGGGTTCATCTTGTTCTTCGGGTCGTAGGCGGGATTTTGGTACATGTTCGGCATCAGGATGGTCTGCGAGTACGAGGGCTTGACATGCTTGCGCGAGCAGCGATCGCCGTGTCGACAGGCACCGATCTTGTAGTAGAAGGAGCAGTTGACCTTGTCTTGTTCTGTACCGAAAATGGAGGCGAGGTAGTTAGCCATGGTGTTATGTGATGCGCCGAGGCGATGATCCTGGGATTAAGTAGGTTGGCTGGAGAGAAACGCGAGTAGATGCTCAGAAATCAAGCAAGGGAGTGTAAGAGTAAGTGAGAAAGATGAACGCGCGAGGGCACGGAGGCAGAGTTGTTTGTTCCTGAACGGTTTCCCCAGCTTCTCATTGAAGTTTCTGGACAGCTCGAGCTCGTGGCGGTGAGAATGACTAAGCCCGGAGAAGGTTCTGGTGCCTCAGGCTACAATCGCTGGCATCAACTATCTAGACCAACTACAGGAACGGCTTCGACATACTATATATACCTGCTAATAAAAGTGGTAAACTCTGGGGTTATTTCTGTTTCTCACTAATCTACCTAGTGGAAAAAGGACCTCAGAGGTGAAGAATGCAAGCTGGCTGCGGAATGGTTGCGAACACTTTCATATAGCATTTCATAGTTTTAAGGTTAAAACTAGATTGTAACGTAGGGGTTAGAGATAGGTTGATGATATATGTAAGCCTCACGGTGATGTTCCTGAATCTCGATATAGGGTAATAACTGTTTGAATGTATGTTCCAAAGCCGTGTGTTCAATCTTCATAAACTAGCTGCCGACAGTTGCAACAGGAATTAAATCAGTAACAATCAAATTACATCTTTGACCCTCTTTCCACTTTGTTCACACCTAAACCGCTCACATCCGCCGAAGGTTCAACACCTTTCACCATCTCAGCAATAACTTTGCCGGTTCCTAGACTAAGCGAAATGCCCCAGGGGCCATGACCCGCCGCAACGTACACTCCTCCGGCGGCTTTAATGCTCTTTCCTAACAGATTCTCATTAATCTTTCCAACGAAAGGAGTTCCGCGCTCTGAAGCGGGCCGGAAGCACAGCCCTTCGCGGATGACTTCCAAGTCGTCAGTATTCGTGATCTCGTCGGTAGCCTCAGAGCTGCCCTTCGCAAGTTTTCCAAGAAGACGGACAGAAACGGCTTTGAGCCTGTCCATCTCCTTCTGCTCCATCGACTTGGGGTAGGCGTCTGCTCTTTCCGGAAGGGGAATATCCCTCGTATTCAAGCCTGCAATATAGACCTCTGCTCCCTGTCGCGAGAACAACTCCGGGCAGAAGCCGCAGTTCGGGGGGTATGTTGTGAACAGGGCCTGGCTCCGGCCCTTGTATGTCGTTTGCTCGTGCTCCACGGTGTATCGTGGGGAGCGTAGAACCAGCGAGTAGCCAGCCAAGGGATAGATGGGGAGCGAAGCTTGAGACGCGGGGAACAACTCCTGCAAGACTCGCTGTGTCCACGGACCGGCGCAGAGGATGAGGTGAGAGCAAGCGATTGTAGATTCAGCTTTTGTTTCAAGATTCACAGTCTTGACAGCCGTGATGGATCCATCTTTCCCTTGCAGAATAGACACAGCTTTTGCAGGATTGTGAACCTTGACTCCTCGTTCAACGCAAGCCTCTAGGAGAAATTTGCACAGTCTCAGGGGATCACTAATGACGTTAGGTCATAGTTTCGGTGGAAGTGAAAAGGGGATTTACTTACACTTGAGCAGTATCATCATCCTCACTGATCTTCAGCGTCTCGGCCCCATGCTGCTTTGTCAACCATGACGGTGGCTCTGCAATGATTGGCTCCGATCCAGCTGCGGTTTCTGCCCGGCTGGTTCCCGTGCGAAGCCAATCATCCCCACGTTTGCCTCCATTCTTCGCTGCAACTCCCAGGCTCAATGCACTGCCTTTCATGTATCCCCATTTCTTTGCGCCGTCCTTCTCGGCAGCTAGGGACTCATGTAGCTTGAATGAAAGCTCTCCCAATGGTGCGAGAGAAGGGGCAAACCAATCCCTGGCCATAAATCCAGCAGCATAGCCGGACGAAGAACAAAAGAGCTCGGAGGAGGAGTCCACCACATGGATGTTCTCTGCAGATTGGCCTTCGGAGAGGTAATAGGCGATGGAAGTTCCTATGATTCCTCCTCCAAGAATGACTGTTGCCATGGTGAGAGATGAAGGTTTTGTATGATGGTTCACGGTTGCAGTGTGTATAGGTCAAGTCAAGAGCACTGGCTATAGAACTCTGTCCCAGGTAACCGATCACTTTATGGAGAATGTCTCCATATAGATCTCGCGGGGTAAACCTAGTCTAGACCAGACCATTTGATAATCTATCGCAACGAAATGACCTTATCAGATACCAGACCGGCTGCTCACCAGGAACCGGCCCGGTGTACAACTATCGTCAATTGCCACAGCCAATAATGAGCATCAAATCAGATGATGCAACACTGTGAGCATGGAGTTCCCCCGGCCCCCGACTTCGGCCTTGCGCTCCGGAGTGGAGTAACCAGGTTTGGAACCCGTTTTCCGCGGTAAATCATTCTGCCGTTTACGCTCGTTGAAGTGACCGATGCTATTGCATGATCACGTTGTAGATATAGTAGATAACGCCAGGATTTCCGTTGCAGATCGATCACGTAGGACAAATGGCAGACTGTAGTGCAACTAGACAAGATATGTCTTGCGCTGCAGATGTTATTCATAACCAATGCACCCGTATTCGGTCACTTGGCCACAAAGTTCCAGCCGTCTGTCTATCACAAGCTATGGATGATTGGGTTACCAGGCATTGTCAAGTCTATCACTGTCATTCTTGCATGTGTATACATAAGGTACTCATAGTATAGTTCTTAGCCTGGGGGCCTTCCGCCGATTGTCAATGGGCCTGGTGGCAACTCGACTCTCATACATAGGGTACCGGTAGTACTAGTAAATCCGCCTCTTGAATTGAGACCAGCAATCCTCAGTTGAGTCATGCAGGATACAATTGCCATTGAAGGCACTCTACTTTACTGTAACCTTGAAGGTAGTCATGCACCCAGGTACGGATCAATGAGTAAGAAGCAGAAGCGAGCCGCGGCGGGCAGAACAACAACAACCACCCCAACGTTCCCCTCGATTACATCACCGCCCCAGGGATCAGCTTTTTTTTCTTCCGCGGAGTGTCTGCTGCAGCTTCACTCCAATCAGCTTGGCACCCCGCACGTTCTTCTTGCCCTCCTCGTTTCACACCAACCTAATTAGATCCCCCAAGAATGTCGAGCAAGACCATCATTGTCACCGGTGCCTCGAGAGGTAATCGATGCCCCCGCGAGCCAGTAGCTCCGTCCTGACTGACACTTCATCTCTATTATAGGCATCGGCCTCGCCATTGCGAAGTACCTCCTCACTGCGCCGCAATCGCACAATGTCGTCGTGATCGCCCGCAGCGTGGAGCCCCTCCAGAAGCTCAAGGATCAATACTCCCAGCAAGTCGCGGTCCTGAACGGCGACCTGTCCGACTTCTCCCTCGCTCAAAAGTCAGTCGACCTGGCGCTCAAGACCTTTGGCCGTCTGGACGGCATGGTCCTCAACCACGGCATCCTCGGGCAAGTCGGCAAGGTTGCGGAAGCCGACCCGGAACAGTGGAAGCAGGGATTCGATGTCAACTTCATGAGCTTGGTCGCATTTGTGAGTTGCTTGCATGGAAATGGAACAGCGATGCCCCGGTAGCGAGCTAACACGCAGCCCACGACAATCAGGTCAAGGCCGGTCTTCCAGCATTGCGGGAGTCTAAGGGCAAGATCATCTTCACCTCGTCGGGTGCCGCAGTGTCCGCCTACAGGGGATGGGGTCTCTACGGTGCGACCAAGGCCGCCATGAACCACCTTGCCCTGACCCTGGGCGAGGAGGAACCCGATGTCACCAGCATTTCCATCCGCCCCGGGATGGTTGACACCGAGATGCAGCGCCAGTTGCGCGAGGACCATGCTACGACACTGGAGCCTCAGGTGCACGCCAAGTTCACAGGAGCCTACGAGAGCGGCAAGCTGCTCAAGGTGGAGCAACCAAGCCATGTCATGGCCAAGCTGGTGCTGGATGCCCCGAGCTCGTTGACCGGAAAATTCTTGAAGTAAGTTGTGGGGGAAAATCTGCCATTGTGTGAAATTCTAACTAACATGCGTCTCCCAGCTGGAACGACGCCCTCCTGGAGAATTTCCAGGTATAGATCTACACTCGAATCCTGCGTCCACTTTTAAAGCCAGTTAGCATATACTACTATCGAAGAAATCCATAGAACAAGAATCAAGATAGACTTGTTTTGATCAGCCGAAAGATGAAAAGCAGGTACATTTTAGAAGCATTAGGCGTAGCACACCTTCATACTTAGCATGGAATGTAGGTTGTTCATCACATAACAGGGGGGTATAAAAATGGAGAATTGCAAAAGCATACCTTAAGCTATTCTATTGTGGGAGAAATTTTACAAAAGAGATTGTAAGCAGAAAAAAATTGATTCCATTATATCAATATCTTTGGTATCGAATCTCAAATCGAAATTGCCTAAAAGTTCTTCGAGTCAGTCAGTAAAGAATTCCTGAAAGATTCTGAGCGATCACAAAATGCAGATTTTGCAAGGATATCAGTAGTCCGTTTGGCTTGGACAGTGTACGTCACCATAGAATGGTCTGATAGGGGCGACAACGATGTTCATCATAGTAAAATAGCAAAAGGGAGAGAAAGGAAAAACGAAGAATAAACATACCATTTATGTTAGTCCATTGTTGTTGTATTTGACCAACAAAGGTTGGCCGGAGCAAAAACTCGGAACAGGAAGCCAAAATCAAGTTTCCTTGTTGTGCGAAGGGCACTGTGCGAATGAAGAAGCAAAGAAAAAAAATCGAAGCTGCGGCGCCGAATAAAAACCCACGAGGGCGGTAGGATTCTGCCCAGATTGTTAGCTTAGTTCTTCCGTTCCGTGTTCGAGTCCCTCCGCGCCGCCGGGAATTTGGCCCTCACAGCTATTTAGACCATCCTAGTCCCCGTGGTGGGCGAGCCATACTCCTTGTGAAGAACAGCTTCACTGAGCGCGGGACTACCTCCTACCCACCCCTTTTTTTTCTCTTCCCTCTCACACATCATTTGTTGACCATGTCGGATCGAGAGTTCAGTTGTACGTGCTCAGCCTTACTCTCTTGGCGCAATACAATTACATGCTGACTCGTACATATCTACAGCAAACGACGACCTGTCGCTTCCCAAAGGTATGTGGTTTTAAAGTGTCGCGTTGTTTGCGAAGGCGTGGGCGCAAAAGGTTTCTTTGTCAACATCGGTCGCGTTCTTGGCCCGATGCAAGCGAATACGCGTATAGAGACTAACCGCCACGGAATCTATAGCGACGGTCCAGAAAATCATCACCGAGATCCTCCCGCCCTCCTCCGGTCAGACTTTCTCCAAAGATGCCCGCGATCTGCTTATGGAATGCTGTGTCGAATTCATCACCTTGATCTCCTCCGAAGCCAACGACATCAGCGAGAAAGAGGCCAAGAAGACGATCGCCTGCGAACATGTCGAGCGCGCCCTGCGCGATCTCGGCTTCGGTGACTATATCGCCGATGTCCTGGCTGTTGCGGAAGAACACAAGGAACAGTTGAAGGTACGTCATGCTCTCATGTCTTACTTGGGATCGTGCGAAAAAAGGAACAAAAACTGACGCGCCTCTCCATCGCTAGTCCCGAGAGAAAAAGCAGAGCAAGATGGAACAAAGCGGCCTGTCCGAGGAAGAGCTGCTCCGGCAGCAGCAGGAGTTGTTCCGCTCCGCGACCGAGAAATATCACGCCGCTCCGGAGTAAAAACGCAACGAATATGCATGAAACATCGTAATGTGGTTTGATCTCATGCTGGCCATAGGAGATCCAGGTTCAGGAGTTTGAGATTCCAGAGGACAGAAATTCGGAGTTTGTTGGTTTGGGTCGTGCTTGGGAAAAGGGTCGGTTATGTATTTCATGTCCCTCGAGGCTTCGCTAGTTTGGCTCATATAATCCTATATTGCTTCTGGGAGACAAACCAGGAGTGCGCACTTTTCATTGTTTTACACCCTTGCCATATCCGAGTTGCAGACCATGCGGGGGTGGGATTTCAAAGAGCCTAAGAGCGACATCATATCGGTATGCAGAAACCCCGATTGGCCTGTTCCAGAGACACCGGGACATAACCACAAATATCCTTCAGTCCAGGCTTGATATTGAGGCGAATGACCGTATAAAAAATTGCGCGGAATTCACCGTACTGCACTTTGTATAGATAGTCCAGTCAGTAAACGAAGCACAGACCACGCTCGACCGCGGCGCTAAGCCTCATTGGGTTCTCCGCCCAACCTCCGATCCTAGCGCGCAAAGCTCGCTGCTGCAAACACCGCGGAGAGTCAGTGCCGTGATTGCGACAGTCCCAGGCCTCGTCACTTTGGATCGCCCATCATGCCCCCTTTCAAAGATGAACACATCTTGGTACGTCCCAACCGCCTCCGCCCGTCTGGTCATATATCCGCCACCCGAATGAAGTCTACACTTCCACCCGACCGAACTAACACCCATTCGTCCAGATAATTGCGCCAGGCTCGCAGGTCACCCTGGCGCAACTCGGCCTACCAGAATCATTCACACCTGCTCGGTTTCGCTTCCCCACACGGATGTTTCCTGCCGAGAAGAAGGGTGAGTATGAACCATACAAGATCCGCGAGCGTCGGCACGAGGTCCCAGTCAGCAATGGTACCGAGGTGCCCAAGGAAGACGTGGAGATGAAGGATGCGGATTCCACAACTCAACAAGACACGGTGAAGACGGAGGCCACGACCGAGCAGCCCAAGGCCTCTGCCGATACAGAACAGAAGAACGAGGAAGCACAGCCGACCGACACCCAGCCGACCGACCCCGCAGCAGAGAAACCTACGACAACAGAGATCTACTACGAAGAGGACGTGACATCGGATGAAGGGGCGATCTATCCCATCGAGAATGGTCGCATCGTTGACTGGTCATGCTTCTTCGCCCTCCTAACCCATGTCCACAACACCCTCAGTCCTCCTTTCCACACCCCTATCATGCTCATCGCAGAACCGGCCTGGTCCGCACGGGACCGCGAGACGATCACTCAATTCGTCTTCGAGAAATTCAAGACGCCCGCTTTCTGCATGATGGACTCTGCGCTCGCCGTCTGCTACGGCTACGGTACATCAACAGCCACAGTGGTTGATGTCGGGAAGGATAAGGTCGATGTTACGGCTGTTACGGATTTCATTGTCAGCGAGCACGGAAGAGGTCTCGCATTAGAAGGCTGCGGTGGAGACTACATGACGGACCGCCTGGTTGAACTCCTAGGATCTAAGGGCTTCTCCAGGGAGATGTGCGAACAGCTAAAACGAAGCAACATCACCGAGCTTCTCCCTCCCGGTACGCCACTACCCGGAACCGCTGCAACTGCGCGACAGGGCGTCAATCCAGCCGCGTCTGCGTCCACGGGCGCAGAGAATGGCAGCGCGAATGAGACTGTTCCCCGCGGTCCGGGTGACGGCACCCAGACCGGAGCTGAGGGCAATGGGGACGACGAGGATGAGGGCGTTTTGGACGTCGCAGCTATCGTTAGCGGCAACACCAGCGAGTTTCTCGCCAACCGGGAGAAGGAAAAGGCGGAGAAGGCTTCGACTAAGAAGGGCAGTACGGATCAAAACGCAAAGCCTGTCCGTCTGCCCAATTCGAAGAAAGAAAAGGCTACATTCCAATTCGAAGAATATGTACGGATAGAGTCAGAAAAGGAGGCGACCAACGGCCCCGGTCGGTACATCCGCCAAACGCGAGAGATTGAGGTCGGTGTGGAGCGGTTCCTGGCGGCAACTCCCAAGCAGAATTCCGGCGAGCGCCTAACCAGCGGCCTCTTGGAGGACATCGCAACCCAAATTCACCATACGATCCTCGCTGTGCCGGATGCCACCAAGCGGAGTGAGCTTTGGGATTCATTGATTGTTGTTGGCAATGGCAGCAAGATCAAGGGTATGTATTCCATCAAAGTCAATGTGGCCCTCATACTAATCTTGTCTCACAGGATTCACGGCGTCTCTGCTTGGCGCCATCACCCAAAAATACATCCTCTCTCCATCCGCCACTATGTTCACCTCCGAAATCCCTTCCAACTTCTCCACCCCTCTTCCGACAGGAGGAACCAACACTCCTGCCCCCTCTGGCCAGCCTGGTCCGATGAACCACCCTGCTGGTCACGGTGTCAATCCTCTCCTCGTCGCTGCCACACACTCCAACAACCCGGCGTCCTCCAGCATGCCCCCCGGAACTCCATTGATGGATCCCACATCGATGTCGCATCACCACCGATCCACAGGGCACTCCCAAACCCCGACTTCGGTCAAGACGCTGCGACCTCCGGAGTACTTTTCCGAATGGAAAGAGCAAGCCAACACCAACGCACCCGGAGCAGCTGGTCCTGGCGGTCCCGGCGTGGCGAGTGGTGGCCACGGTATGGAGGAGGCGGTCTTCCTTGGGGCCCAGGTCGCATCCAAGGTCGTGTTCGTGCTCGACCAGGGCCTCAGCAAGGGCTTCATGACCCGGGTAGAGTATAACGAGAACGGCCCGTCCGCGATTCATGATTATGTCATGTGATAGCCCTATGAATTTGTCTCGGAAAGGGTTTTTTTTTACCTGAAATACTCGAATAATTGTTTTTCACCGAGGGTTTTCTGTACCTTTACTACATGACTAGCGTCTTTTCTTAAGAAAATTAGAGGGAGAAAAAAAAGACCAGAACAGGAAGGCTATCATCACTCAAGCTACGGATATTGAGGCTGTAGTTTGATCTGATCCATCCCACGATTCAGGGTAAAGTGTATGTACAAAGGTGCTTGCAAGGCACCAAAATGGGGCATCGTAAACATTCAAGCTCAAGATTCGACGAGTTTTCGTATGCCTATTCTAGCCTTTGGTTTGGCCCTCCAACAGATGAAAGCAAGAGATCAGTCCAACACTTGATACTTCAACCACAGCCGCTCCAGAAAAACTATGTACATGCACACAACATCCACCCCTCTCAATTCATGGAAAGACCAACGAGCCCACCTCACCAACCAACCCTATCTATCCCCTCCCCCCCTCTCTCAAAACCCAAACGGCCTACCTAAGCCCCGGACGGACCCAGATAAACATCCACCTCGATCTCCAGATTCTGGCCCTCGAACGGCAACGCCTCGATCCCCAGCATCGTCCACGTCGGCTGGTGCCCGGGACACCA